AACGTCAAAATAATATTAGCTGTTTTGTTTAATTTTTCTGTCTGCTTTGTGAGCGAGTCTAGATTCTTCTTTCTCGCAGTCAACAGACACAATATCATAACTAATTTTTATATATAACAATTAGATTTTAAAAACAGAATTTTGTTTTTTTTTTCTATTCTCTAATAATATTGTAGTGTTCATAATTAGCGTTTTTAAAACATTTTAAATATATAATTACTAGAATAGCAGTTTTGAAACTCAACGTATTCCTTTTATACGTTCTTAATAATGAAAAACAAATACAATGCTACTTTTATAAAATGTTTTTAGTCATATTATTTTTATTATTATTTCGTTGTCAAGAGCTAGATTTATTGCCAAGGTTCTTGGGAGTATTCTGCATTAAAATATCGGCCAGAGAAATAAATCTTGCTGCGTTTTGTCAAAACTTATATATATATACAGGGTGTCCCAGAAACGGGGTAGTAGAATTGACTCTATTATAATAAAATTTAAACAAAAATCCATATGGTTATAGTTATAGGCTTATAAGTGTAACATATAGCTTTCTTGAAATTATGACCATTTTGCGGTTATTGTGGTTAACTTTTATTAATTTTGGATTAAACTAAAATCATTTGACCTTTGGATTTCTAGAAACATAGACAAAAATAATGACACAATCGCCCCAAGTTTTCCAGAATTAGGACAATTTGTTAAACTATTAAGTTAAAATTTTCAAACTTGGTTGAGTTTGCTTTAAAAAATCACTAAGGTGCGTTGGCAAATTCTATATTACAATATATATATTCTAATAACAATATATTCTATATATTATATATTATTAACTTCCCGTAGGGCAAGTTATAGTAATCGCAAAAAAATCGAAAGTGAAATTTTTTATGTATCTTTACGTTTCAAAACCAAGGCAGGTCTAGCCGTTCCGAAGATATGGGGCAAAAAGTGCCAAAAACGGTAACTCAGTTTTTAAGAACGGAGCGTCCGATTTGAATCATTCAAAAAACATTTTACTTGTATTAACAAGATGAAGAACTGATCATTTTCATAAAAGCAGGTCTAGCGGTTTCGGAGATCTAGTAAAAAAAGTTAGAAAAATGCCATTTGGCGGTCAAAAATGATCATTAGACATATGCACATCGAATTATTAGATATTTTATAGAGATTTTAACAATAAGTATAAATTTTGTTTTTATTCCTATGGGTTTCGTACCAATGTTTATCCGTTAAACGGCGACGCGGCGCTTACGCGCTTCGATATTTCGTCTCTATGCAGTTAAAGCAGTACGATTGCTTTGAAAAAAAGTTCAGAATTTCCAAAATATTTCAAAATAAATTTTTCTTCAAAAAGTCTTTTTTTTCGAAAAAAGTAAATTTTTGTCAAAAATTTATAGTTTCTCAAAAATCTAATTTTTTCAGAGTAAAGTTTTTTCAAAAATGTTAATCTTTTTGAAAAAAAATAATTTTTGGTACGTGAAGTTCCAGCAATTTGCCTTAAGGCACGATGCCATGCGCCCCACTAGTTTATAAATTTATTGGCAAGCAAAGCGCTATAGGATACAATACGTATTTTTACTTTTATATTTGTATGATCTACCTGCCTTTGCCAAACACTAATCAGAATGTCTCCTTATCAATAGAAATCGAATGTTTTTCGAATCATTTAAATCGGTTGAACCGTGTTCCCGAAATCGTCGACAAAAATTTATATCCGATCACACACACACACTCGCGCACATACATCCATTGTTTCTAAGTTATGCCAAAACGTTCGGAAATCTTTGAAACGTAGAGATATATAAAAAAAATTATTCTCGATTTTTTGGCTATTACTATAATTTACCCTACGGGAAGTTAAAAAAGTAAATAAATCATAATATATCCACAGCGCATCAATGGATGTACACCATTACCGACTGCATAACTGAAAATTACTTCTATTCTAATCTAGTTATAAGCTTCAAATAAAAAATTAATCTCTCAATTTATTCTGGTGCATGTGTTCGTACAAAACACACACGTGCATTGCTCGGATCCCTTTTGACCCAGAGCGTTGGGTTAATTTGTACAGTTACTTTTATTGGCGACGAAGTTCATGCACTCCGAGAGCAATGTACATACAAGAAAACTCGTCATGTAGATGTAGGGCCAGTGCATTTATTTTTAGAAATTAGTTAAAAATACAGTGAAGTGTGAGGAAAATTTTATCACTAAGGTGTTCGTTTGAACATTTCCCTTTTAGATTAAAAAGTTATTATTCTGGTACTTAATTTCTACTGCATACGCCTTGGAAATTTATCCTAGTGGTATAATCTAACTTCGTTGGTTTACTTACGCATCGTTTATTCATTTATTATTTATAAAACGCGAATATTGTACCAAAGCTCATGCTACTTGAAAAAAAATACAAAAATCTAGTTTATATTATAAAATAAAAATGATAGAATTTAAATACCCTTGCAAAAAAAAAACATTATTTTTCTTTACTGTATCATATATTTTTTGTTGATTATTTTGTATGCTTTTGATATTTATTATATTATCTATTTATATTATATTTAGTAGTTTCATCCGCTAAAGATGTTTAGTGGCAGTCTTGAAATAATATGCAGGACTTATTAAAATATTTTAGAAATTGGGTGGATGTCGCATATATATTTTAGTTCAGTCATTTACTACTATCAGTCACTAATTTGTGTACAAAAAACAATAAAGAGATTAATATAATATAATGAAGTGACAAGATAGTATAAGATTTATCTAAGATTTACACTTTATAAGAGTATTTGCCAATAAGAGGCCAAATTCCTGAAGTACGAGTTACATAAAACTTACTATTTATATTCATTCAAAAAATTCATTTTCAACTTCCCGTAGAGTAAGTTATAGTAATGGACCAAAAATCGATGAAAATGAAAATTTTTGCATATGTTCACGTTTCAGAGTTTTCTGAACATTTTGGCATACCTCAGAAAAAATTGATGTGTGTGTTTACGTGTGTAAACAATTTTTCGTCGACGATTTCGGGCATACGGATTATCCCATTCAAATGGTTAAGAAAACATTCGATTTCTATTGATGAGAAGGCGTGCTGATTAGTTTCTGACGAAGGCAGGTCCAACGGCTTCGGAGACATGAAGCAAAAAGTGCTAAAAATTGCGGTTTTTAAGAAAAAGAAGCATCCGATTTGAATGATCCGGAAAACATTCGATTCATGATGGGGAGAAATATTGATTAGATTTTGGCAATGGAGGATCCAGTCGTTTCGGAGATACAGAGCTAAAAATAGCAGTTTTTGAAAGAACTAAGCATCCCATTTGAATAATTTAAAAAACTTTTTGCTTGTGTTGACGAAACGAATGCTTTTCGGAAAGATTTTTTTTTCAAATTTAAAAAAAAATTTTTTTTTTGAATATCAAAAAATAATTCGAATTTTAATTCTAATTCTAGCTAAAGTTCTAAACATCACTTATAATACTTCAAATAATTATAATAATCTATTTGAATACATTTAATATTTCTTGAATAATTCATTAAGGTACGGGAAGTTCCAGCAACTTGGCTTAAAGCACCATACACCACAAGTTACAATTACATTTTATGTATGAATACATATTAATTTTAAGGATGTTATAGTTGAGTATGATCTAAACAGGGTCGAAAACAATTGTGTAAAAACCTACAAGAGATACTGTAAGACATCTCTAAAATACTTATTTAAGCCCAATATTTAAAGCAAATAAAAATCTTAAATTTAATATTTATTTTATCTACTGAGGAAAAAACATTTAATTTTGCAAGATTCAGAAATAATACCGCTATTATGAAAAAAAAGTTCTATAAGCGAACATCAAAATTATTTGATCAAGTGTTGGTTTTATTTATCCATTTTGTGCACCCTGTATGCCAAAAATCTATTTTTACCATACAATACCAAAAATCTATATTGAACATTATACTTTAGTATAAAAAAAATTCCCTCAGAGACCTGTCTCGGCAAAATTCTTAAACCAGAACATACCAAAACAGTAAATTTAACTAATAGCAACTCGTATTTTACTCTGGCTACTATAAAATGCTAAAAATGTAAACAATGATTTAAAAAAAAAAAAAGTTTCTTGATATAAAAATGAATTTTAAAATAGTTTCAGCTCTACCGCTAATAGTACAATGATCCTTGCACTTCATGCACAGAAATAATTCTTCCAGTGCATTTTGTAGGCTTTAGAATGAGGCGTACGATATAGCTTTATTATTTTCTATTTGTGATCCTACATCACGACTTAAAATAGAGATGAAAAGTATCATATATCGATCCAAGTATATGATCGTTTATCAATATATTATTCTGCGAAAAATTTAAAATAACGAAGAAAGTCCCAACAAAAACGTTTTTGTTTAATGATAATGAATCATGTGGCGTTTTCCAATAAAAAGATTCATTTTAAATTTTCGAATATCAAGTTCACACCTATTGTAATAAATGTTGGTATCTTAAGAATTAAAACAAATCGAAATTGTATGTGAATAAAAAAAAAAATCATAAATAATACCCCTTATTGGAAAATCATACAAATATTTAAGTTTTGGTATTGATGCAATATCATTATATTACTATTTATGGCAGGCGAGACATTAATTTCAGAAATTTCTGCTATGTTTAATATATTCAAATATTAAATATCAAGCGTACTTCAACAGTGCGTTTCGGTGAATTAAATTGCTAATTACTAATCATATAGTAAAACATATATTAACATTGTTCATAATAAAATTTGTAGTTATTACTTATGAAAAATAATTACTTGATAATCTTACACAAAGTCATCCTAAAAATAGCCTTCATCATCGTGCAGTGATAGAAGGTAATTATTTGTAACTATGAAAATAATATGCCACATAAGATTTAAAAAATTATGCGGAAAACAGAACTGCCTATAATAATTTTAAGAAGGTTGCAACATAAATTCATATTTAATAATTTTAATCAAATTACTTACTTTTTGTTCTAGTATTCTAATTGATTCTCATATATAACACGGCGGCAGCTGTTGCACCTGAAATAAAAATAATAAATTGGTTATTCGAAATCATAACCAAAACTAGATTAAATAGAGTATAAATAAATTAGGTGTAAGTGGCCCTAAGACAAGTTGTATAAATTTCTCAACAGATGGCACAAAAATTTACTTAATGACATATGTTAATAATAAACGTAAAACTTTTAATTGAAGTGCGGTCTATCTAAATGTTAATATTAAAAGCTAAAACTATTAGAGATTATTTTTTTTATTAATTTAGAAGCATTTGAGCCCTTGGGAGCAAAGAAATTCAGAAATGTCCATATTAAGGACCACCCTAATATATATATATATATATATATATATATATATATATATATATATAATATTGCTGAAACATCTTCAATAACACCAACATTGAAATCTAACCTTGGTAGTCAGAATAAAGACGCGCAAAACAACGAATTTAAAACAAATTCTAATTAATTTTACATTTGCACCTGCGTTTTATTCGAAGGTACTCAAAAACAAGAAATCTCAGAACAAAACTGACTTTAATACCGAAAGACAACTTTGAGATAGGTAAGACAAACACTGAAGAAGACCTCTTCATGCATAATTAGGAAGAGATTAGTGACAACTTTACTGGGCGTATGTGATCGAAAACTTAGGAAAATTGGTAGATTCAGGAAGAAACTGTCAAAACCATAAAGTTGTTCTCATCAGTTGATTGAATTATAAATTATAATACATGAAACAAATTGATAATGTATAGGACTCAATCTAAAATACGTGACAAATCCTGAATTAGGTTAAAATTGTTTGCATGTTTCGTGAACTGTTTACTGATTGATTGGTGATATTGGAAATAATATACGTGTGTTATGACTTTGTACATATATTAATTTTCGATTAAATCATAAAAATCAAAATTCAGAAAAATTGATCCCTTATTAACAAAGAAAAAACTTTAAATCATAAATATAATGATTAATTACTTATTATTCAAATCACTGACTGTGATACAATTTTGACTAGAATATTCCAATATTTTTTTTACAAAGACTTTAAACTTTACGAGTTTGTTAAAAGCCCAAACATGAAATAAAAATTGGCTTAGACCGTTCTTGAAAATCTGAAATTTTAACAAATTTCACTAAATACATTTACATTTAAAACTAAAACGTGTGCGTGTATTTTAAAAAGAGTGCGCGTAAGGTTCACACGCGATTGAAGTAAAACTTATTTACACTGTACAAGATGGCATTTGAGTAAAAATAAATACATCATATAACAATTTTAAATAATGTTTATTAGTAATATGGTAACACTCGTGATGCACATATTTATTAGTAGCAACCATTAAACACATTTATATAATGATAAATTATAAATTATACATTTATAATAGCATTAAAAATATGTATAATATTTAAAAACAATAATGTAATTAAAGTCATACTTCAAATATGACATGATCGGTTTGTCATTGTAATTAGCATTTAGAAATGAACCTTCATTAGAAAAATGAAGTAATTGCTGATTAATAACTTCTATAATATTCGTTCACACAGTGGATTATGTTAAACAATGCCTAAACAAGTATTGTTTTCGCACTTCACTCATGTAATAATTGTGTTTGAAGAACTTCATGTAATTAAAATTAACATACATTCATTGACTGATGGTATTTTGTTTACTTTTTTGCTGATTAATAACTTCTATAATATTCGTTCACACAGTGGATTATGTTAAACAACGCCTAAACAAATATTGTTTTCGCAAATTCACTCATCATGTAATAATTGTATTTGAAGAACTTCATGTAATTAAAATTAACATACATTCATTGACTGATGGTATTTTTTTTTACTTTTTTGCTGGCGATATAATCTCATTCTTTGAACAGCTGTAATATCTGTTGCATAATAATATATAAAAATATTTTTCATTTCAATAACTTCAAAGATTTATAGAAACTACGAATAATATAGAAATTATATCAATAAACTTATGTTTCATACACGGCGCAAATGCTGCATTTGCTTTATTATTTTCATTGTAAGTATTTACGGGGGACAGAGTAAAATTTTCTTCTGATTCAGGCATTTTTCATTAAATCGAGATTTGTACTACGATGTAACTTTAAAATGTTTATTTATCTATGCCGATTTCCTTGTTGATGTCAGTACGCATACAACATTGACGCCGGTACGCACACAACGTTGATGCCGGTACGCATACAACGACAGATCTCTATTCACATACGCGACGACTAATCACAATCGACCCGTATAGAAATGATATCATCGAGAGCGAATGACGAATCATTGGCACTCGACTCTTATCTTATCTTATCTGCCGTAACGAACTTCCGTTGCATTTGTACGGATTTGTCGCGCCTAAAGAAGTTTTACTTCAAAAATGTAGACAAATCGATAGAAAATTAGAGGTAAACTTTATATAGAATCTAATAAATATGTCGAACGTTATAATTAAAATCAAGTCTGTGTTTCTATTGAAAATCTTTAAATTGAATATTCAAACCGTACTAGATTTATTATTAAATGTGAAATCGATACGACCGTCAGAACAATCCACAAACAATAAAAAAGTAAGTGCACGCGCTGAATAGTGTGTTTCGCTCTCTCGGTAGATTCGAGTAGATTCACGGAACCAATATAGTTTCTGAAGTGCACAAAACAGAAATAAAACAAGTTTAAATCATTTATTAGCCATAGAGTTCGACCCGTATGTACCTGAAAATAGAAGCTGTGTTGTATGTAGTTTACGTATATACACAAGCGAGAAGAAATTCTGTTAACAGATCAAAGTACGCCAGCACCATCAGGTCCATGTAGGCGGTAATAACATGCATTTTTGTTAGTTTTCTGACTAACAAGTCTAAACACGTGTTTATCATAATAAAGGTAGGGTAGAGCGGGGCTTAAAGGTCGGCGGGTAAAAAGGCCCACCACTGATATCAAAGTATATACAGTGTGATCTTTGTGATATGAAAATGATATTGTGCATTGTTTGAATAACGCAATTTCGTCAGATTCCTTCAAAATTAAAAATAATATATTGAATCTTCTTTACCCCGCGGAGTAAAAAAGGATAAATGACAAATTTTAGAAAAACAGTAAAAAAACACTTCTTTATGATTAGGATTTAACTGAAAATTTTATTGAGGATAGTTCGATAGTTGTTTGCTTGATACGTGTTGTGATGCAGTTCATTTGGTTCAAACAGTATAATTACTTAAAGTCAAATTGAACCTTTGTGACCCCGCCTTGTTTTATTAGAAATTTGGAATATAATATACAAATGACAACTATATGTTAAGCCAGTCATAACATACTGACATTTGAGTTCATTTCTGAAGAATGGGCTCGCCCGTAGGTAAGCGGTTAAGAGCGACGGGATTTGTTTCAGAGGTCCCGGGATCGATACCCACTTCGAGCAGCCTGTTGTCAGGCAGCAGTGACGACGATTTTCACTTGGAAATATAGATAGCAATATGTTTCCAAGTGAAAATAGCCCTTGCCCGGTATTGCTGCACCAATAAAAAGTCAGCCCTATTAGATTAATTCTAATAACAAAAATCATCAAATATGGATGGATGGAACCATTGGGTTAACCATCTAAAAATACGAAGTAAGGAGAAGTTGCAGCCCAACAGCTCATAGGACGTAAGGTTCTGATTGCTGTTAAAAATATATATATAAAAAAAAATCTGAAGAATTATGTGACATCACAAAATATTTTCCGTTAGCATTAGTTTGCTGTAAGCTTTCAATTGTAGATTTCAAGTGAAAATAGCCCTTTCCCAGTATTTATGTAGCTTATTGTAACAGGGGTGTGTAGTAACACGCGTTTTCAGTAGGATCTATAAATATTTTTTTTATTTGCATTATATTATCATCAAAATAATATAATGTTTTCTTTTAAATATTTTTTTGTCTCGATTCGGCATGTGAACCATCCTGTATAATGTCATAGTTACTGTCCCGCAGGCCGACGCAATAAACAGAACTGTGCAGATCCGTCATTTTTGATAAGTAATATAAAATTTATCATTATAAAATTTCAAATAATGAATTCTTCAAATAGAGATAGTTCAAGTGTTCGGTTGCCTTTCAGAAAACCACGTTATGAAGAAATCATCTCAACAAACTTATATGAGTAAAAATGTTTGATGATTAATATAAAAATGCCGATATGTTCAACACAAACAAGATACTCATCATTTTATTAAAAATATTTTTTCTGGAAATTAAATAATCTTTCGTCCTAATAATCGTTAATCTTTCTTCCTAAAGCTAGGAAGCGTCAGGTCAATGTTCTTTAACACAATGAGTCAAACGCGAAATGAATAAAAGTCCCCTACGATATATAAGAAACAAAAAGGAAGAAACGAATTTGATTCATTGTTGATCTTCGAAGCGTTCTAGCTAATAATAGACGGGGTTGCATTGTCATGATTCATTGTATAGGAAAAACAAAAATTAAGATAATACCACCCAATAACTACGCCAGCATTTATTTCCGTCTGGCGCCAACATGTAACGGCTCTAGAAATTATTAAAATTTTACTTCCACTGCATTCAGAAAATCTAATAAAAATTGTGTACTATATTCAATATATAATACAAATCCAGTAAAAAATAAGATATTATATGTAAAAAAAATATTTTACGTGTAGCTCATCAACAAGAAGTTTGTACTTTCCAAAGAAGATTATTTTTTTGCCGGAAAATTCGATTCGTTAATTTAATGTTTTCAAAACGTCCTGATGTTCTGTATCAAAATTGGAAATAAAGTAAATGTCTGTTTGAGTATATCAGGCAAAACGTTTCCACAAAAACTACTTTACACCGATTTCAATTATATAAAAGCTATTAGATAAAACTTGACGAGGATTCGCGTTGCTTAATTTTGCGTTATAATAGGCCTAGCCATTTTTTTATAATTAGCAAATAAGTGCAAAATTTTTCGTCCACGTTTTGATCAAAAATGTTCAATAGATTTAAAAA